CACACACACACACACACACACACACACACACACACACACACACATTGCGAACAAAATCTAATTCGACAGCAGGTTGGTCGGGACGACCTTTTCGGATTTGCTCATTCTCATTTCTGTTGTGTGTAGCAAATCGAACGGAATAGGCATTGAACAAAAAATTTCTGACACAAATGGTCTAGAAAATAAGAAGTCGTGATTTTTTTTTTAATTTGTTTAGTGTAGTAGTGGCCATCTAGAAAAGGAAGCTCAAAATGGTAATTGTACTATTTTTGTTGATAACATACAACAAAAATACATTTATTCAAAACAAAACAATCTATTGAAATGAAAGTAATCAATTTATAACATCGCTGTATTGCCTACACCTTTTTTTTCTCACTATCGCTATGATTATCGCGAGCATACATATTTTCTTTTTGAATCAGTCGATGATTTCATTTATTTTCCAAATTCGCGCTTGTTTGTTTTCATATAAATTGCGAAGAAAATTTTTCTTTATTTTTTTTTCTCTCTTGTCAATCCACATTATCAAACTCTCAAATGGTGAAACGGTGAAAATGTTACAAAAACAAATGGTCTTTATTGACATGGTACATCAAAAAAAAAAATAAGAAATAGAATTGTGTTAGATGAGAAAGAGAGACATTAAATCAATCGTAATTAAATTCGTTGGTATATAGTAAAAAAAAGTGACGAAATCGAAAATAAAAATTGAATTCTCGATAAAAAAAAACGAAAGAAACAAAACGATGAAGTGAAGTTGTATGCAAAATAAACATGAAATGGACAACGATGATAATGATTGATAAAAGATTAGGTATATACATGAACAATCAAGGCGATAAATAGTCAAATGTAATAAGTAAATAGGAAAACATAACTTTAAACACATTCAATGGCGAGCCAATGGACAAAAATTAATTTGAGAGAAAAAAAACACCACACACGCACACGAACCGTAATAAAATTGAATTAAATTCAAATGATAATTGATGGAAATTAAATGGGAAAAATATTGTATTTTACAATCATAAAAAAATGCTGCATTTGACAATATTGAAGAATGTTTTTGTGTTCGGTGTTTAGTGTGCAAGAAGACAGATACTGTGAGCATGTGTAAAAATAGAGAGAGAGAGAGAGAGAGAGAGAGAGAGAGAGAGAAAATTAGGCCTAATTAAGAGCAACAACAAATTCAACAGCAGTAATATAGTATCAATTTGATGATTCGCGCCACTATAAATCACAACGATAAATATCAAAATTTCTTCACTTTCCAAATATACAAACGAAGATATGTGAACTGAAAAAAATTGGACAAGAAACGATATCATCGCTGAAAATCGTCTCAATTCGTACACACGTATTCATCGCATGAAAATGGTTTTCTCTTCCAAATTTTTTTTTTTTGCTAATTCAAAATTTTTCTCATGGTCTTGTACATTTTAGCCCATGACCTGCAGCATAAAATGTTTGTTTTTTTCTAGTTGGCATTCGATATGGTGATTTTGTGTGGCTGAACTTGTATATTTATCGAAAGCGAAAAAGAAAAAGAAAATTGATTGTGAGAACATTGTGGCATAGAATTTGATTGTGTTTGTTGCGCGTTGAAATACACGCATTTCGAGTGTGCGGGCATTTCAAATTCGTTGTGATACTGGCGAATGGATGCTTGCATGTATGAGTGAATGTATGGCGTATGCGTATGTACATGTTCAATGGTCGCTATTGTTGTTGCTGCTGCTGTCGTTAACGTGACGATGTGGTAGTGTGCGCACTTGTGCAAAATGTCATGCAATATGAAAATGTATGCATGCCACAACGAGGGCTATGAGAGTGCTCGCACAAGTTAAACCATCCAAAAAGCACATCGCAACATAATGAACCAGGAAAAACGTGTTTATTTTATACAGAAAAAAAAGTATATATATAAATATCCTCCACTTGGATAATTATCCAATATTTGTGTTGAAATAAGAAAAAAGATTCCGTTTTGTATTTAACTTTTTTGAATGTGTATTCCAATTTCTATGATTTTCATTGGATAATTCGAATAAATTCATTTATTTCGATCTAAAATATGCAATGATAACATGGCATAAAATTCAAGGCAATAACGCAAAACACACCTTCGTTTTTAGCCCTATTCATTGCGTGCGGTGAATCGACTAACCGAATACGCTAGGTGAACGTAGATAGTAGCAGAATATTCGAACGAAACGGTGTGTTGTAAATGTATACCTGTAATTTTAATCGGAAGCTCAAATATTTCACCCACAAATATCGATAAAGCTATGCGATACCAAATTTATCGTCTCTTTCTCTCTCTCACTCTCACTCTCACACGTAGAGAGAGTCTCTTCTGTACATTATGAGTAATTGATTGCGATGTTACATTTATTTTTCACCAAATTTAAATGAAATGAGAATAATTCAGATTCGGAAATTGTTCAATATTTTTCCGGATCGAATTGTATAATTGTTCATCCAATTCAATTTTTTTTTGCATATTTTTGAAGATTTGATTCTACTTATGTGAAATATGATTTACTTTTTTTTTAATTGATCAGAATTTTTGAAAACTGGAGAAAGAGAAAAGGCAACAAAGATATATTAGTACAAGTATATGACAAAGATTAAGTTTCTTTTTAGCTATTGTCGTGAGAAATCTTTTTGTGATTCATTATCACAATTTTGAAGCCACATTCACACGCAATATGCAGTCAATGATAAAAGTTTTTCAAGTATCTACCGATAATGTCCCAGCTCTTTCGTGACAGTATTTTTGATTGCTAATCTTCCAATTTAAGATGGAAAATTGCGATTTAATGAATTAATGTAGTCACAGTTATAGTATTCGGCTGTCTAAAAATTGTTTTCTTGAACTAGTTTGATTGCTTAGCGGTAAATGTGAGCGTCAAGTGAATTATTTTATTTTCATAAGGGTTGCCAAATACAGAATAACTTCACTCCGGCAATGATGAAAAAAAGAGTACCATGGAACATGGCGTGTAACGAAATAGAAAACACTATAAGGATGAAATCCCAAAATAACCAAAACAATGATAGATAGACTTCATTAAAATTATATGCATCGTTAAATAAACTGTACTATAAATGGTACTCAACAGAACCACATGTAATTGTAGATGATTGTTATATGGCGGTTTTCATCTTCGAAATGTGCCGTTGTCTTCAACCAATTGACATTCCACAGGGTAACATTTGTACGTTTTCGAATGCATCGCATACATGCGGCCATATTGACAAAATTTCCGAAACTTGTTTCATTGCTTACGACGCTTTCAAGTGTTCAACGCTAAGGTAAACAAAAAGTCTCGCCGAATTTGCGATGAACGAAACGTACACAATACTACGAAAATAAATGTATATAATGGAAATTACAATATTCAAACGAGCACGACACAACAATACTTCAAAAAAAAAAATCTTCGAAACTGTTGGACTAGCGTCAAAATGCTGTAACAATAAAATCACACAGCATAAATTGACTTATCAAACGGATTGAAAAGAGCACGGAAAGCCATTCAATAGCATGGCAAAAATGCGTGAAACATGAATTTATTTCCATTTTTTCCCGTAAGCTTGTCATTGAATGAAAGCAAATCCAAAAGCGAGTAGGAAATTAAAACAAGAATAATTTTCACATTTTACCGTTCATACACGCTTTTGCAATAAATTTTGACGAGTACACAGATCAACATCGAACCATAGAGCGCATGCTAAAAGAAAATGAAAATATTTATTTTAAACAGTATTGTGAATTGAGTAACAGAGAGAGGTAGAGGAAGAGAAAGTGAAAGAGAGAGAGATTAAGGGTAGGTGGAGAGAGATTGATAAAAGTCGAGCACACCAACAACAACCAAAAAAACAAGACAACACAACACATGTTCGCAAAGAAGAAAAGAAAAAAAGAAAAAAAGCATCTCATGAATAAACGACATGTTCAGCAACCGAAAAAGAAAAATGCTAGGTTATTTTTTTCTGATTCATAGACATGCCGAAGAAGGAGAACACAGGACGAACGAAGAAACAAAAAATGGAAAAGAAGATGAGAGAACGAAAAGATTGTTACATCAAAATTGTGCGGTGCTTGAAATTCTTTCGTTTATCATGTGATTTTTGCTGAAGTGACAGAAGAATGGCAGAAAACATATCGTTTTCTGCCGCGTTCTATTTTACTTAGGTTTTAATTGCTGTACCGTGTCATTTGCATACATGGAGATAAATGTGGATTGTTCCATACGTCGTCGCAATTTACTACCTGATTGTAGAACAAAATGAATTGAAACGAATAACTTTCTACTATAATGTATTATGTTTCTTGTTTATTTACTTATTTTTTTTCTTTGCATTTATAGGGTAACGAAACGTCATTACCCATGGAGATGTGTTCGAACTGTGAGTATTAATATCGTTTTGATTTTATTGATTGTTCGGCTCAATTATTTTGAAAAATGGCCTCTTATACTAATAAAAATTCAATGCGATTATAAGAGTTTGATAATAAATTTTTCGCCATTGAATCACTCAAAATGATGATGACGATGTTGAATTGAACTAATTTACAATATTTCGGGAATTTTTTTTTATTCGATTGCCTAAGTTTTATCATGAACGACCGTTTTAAATATAGTACTTCTAAAAATGTAATTATTCAACATTCATATTAATGTGTAGCTAAAAATTGTATCATTTATGGAACCATTTATTCATCATTTTTTACAAGTCATTATAATTTCTCACATGTGAAACATTTAATTTCGGGGAAAAAAAGCATGAAAATTTATATTTTAAATACCTCACTGAATAATTATATCAAATGAGCAATTCTGTGGTTTGGACACAAAACATAAGTTTAATCGCAATGAGAGCTTATTTTCGTGGAAAAAAAAAGAGGTGGAGAATAAAATGTCCAAATTCACGCTTCAACGCACACCCGACCCGCACACCAATCTAAAGCGAACATTTATTATTTGAGTTAGGTTGCCATGTGTACAATGGGACCAAATCCTTAACACATCATTTACTTTTCGCACTCACACAACCTGTGAAACAAACAAAAAAACTAATTAAGATGGAAAACAAAGCAAGCACCAATTTACTGTGTATGTTTGCTTTGAATTTACACACATGCTACCGTTACAGGGAAACACTGAAAACATTTTTCATGCACTACATTTTTTGTTGTTGTTGTTTTTATTATTATGGTATTATTCATTTAAAAGCTATTGGCTTTACAAGCCTGACTGTTTGAACAATGAACACCCTCAGTCCCTCATACATTGCATTTCATAATATAAATAATAATTTGAAAATCGTTTAAACAGCGCTACTTTGATGATGAAATTTGTACGCCAAATGATTGCATCTTACTTTATGCTACGCGGTATTCATATTTTTACGAGCCAAATATTTTCGGTGAAAATTTTGAATGTCGTTTTTCTTTCTGTCGAAAAATCATTTTCTGTGTTTGTGAGATTTTCAAATTGAACAATCGTGTTGAATGGTGTAACAATCGACAGTTTGGCAGAAAAGTGTACGTTCGAATTAGCTCAAGTACTTGAAATAAACAAATATAAAATATTTATTTATATTTTCATTTTTATTATTTCGTTCGGAATTTTATGAGGAAGAACAATGGCAGAGAAACACCGATACACTGGTGCACGACGATTACATTGACTGTCAACAGCTTTAGTACAAATTGAAATTACAGCTCCATTCGTTGAACTTAGTTTCTTCAACGTTTTTCATTAAATATTTACCGCTCAAATTATAATACGGCAACAAGCTCGATGAGAATGAAGAAACAGTAAAATAATATTCACAATTTAACACATACAAACATACGTTGTATGAATTGTAGTCACGATTCAACTTAAAATTCGTTATAATTCCATTATTCATGATGAGAGAGAGTAAGAGAAATACACCGAATCATCATTTTTGAGATCAACTGCCCACAAACAATGTGAATGTTCAGCTCAATTTCAATCGGGCACAAGCTATTATGCAAAAATTTATAGAGCCATTTATCAAAGTACTCAAAAATGATGATGATTCTTTGCTTTCGATCAAGTGCACTATCGAATTGGGAATTAACTTATATGCTGAGCAACATTCTCCCGATGGTATTTTTCCATTCAACTATTCCAAATTAATAAAATTTTCGTCGACAACGATGAAATGGCAGTTGAAACTTTATTACAATAATCTCTTGATGTACTCAGTGCTCTTATATTTTACTCAAACAACATTAAAATCCAACTCAAATATGATGTTGTATGTGATGAAAAATTGTAGTAGTTGAAAGTAACATAAGATACTGTTTTTTCTCTCAATATTTTTCCCTTGATATTTATTATCATATTGTTCAATATAGTGAATATAAATTTTTCTTTTCACTATTATTCAAACGAATGGCCAAAACGAAAGCGACAAATGAAGCAAATTATGAAAAAAAACGGCAAAGCAAAATAAATAATTCCAATCGGTTTTCACGACGTATTTAGGACACAAAAATATAAAAACCATAGCCATATATTGTATTTAAACTACAACCGCGTTTGTGTTTGTATGTTATGTTAGCATATTAGCATAAAATCGATAAAGTTTTTCTTGGAATAATATTTGGAAAATCTGAGAAACCAACAAATAAACAAAACACCAGCATCAACAACTAGAAAAGTTGAATGCAGATAAAATTCAACGGAATACACACAAAACAGCAGAAACATCAAAAGCATATCCAGTTTTACAGAAGCAAAAACATATATTGAGGTAGAGGGAGAGAGATAGAGCGTTTAACTAGATTTTGTAAAGTGAATAAAAGGTGCTTACAAATAAGTACAAGCAAATTGAACAAAATGTTGCGGTTTGAATAAAACAAAATAACCCAACCAGATCATGTACATATTTACTAAAAAAAGGGTGTAACAGAGACAGATGGAGTTCCTGCATCAATGCTTGCCTTGATACCAATACTAATGAATTTTTCTGATTTAAATTCAGTCACTTTCCCACCAATCGGTTGGAATTGAGTTGAATAAAGAAGAAGAATCAAAACATGAACGAAGGTATGAAGAAAAACGATGCTAAATACACACAGATAGTCTTAATATAAAGAAATTAGCTTTTCGCTGACTGTTTTTTCCTCTCATGTAAGAGTATACATGTATATATAAAAGGGAAAGGCGATGAAGTCTATCATCAGCATTACCACATCTTATTTTGCTGACGTCAAGCGCAAACATTTCTGTATACTGTATACTATGTTTTGAGTACACAGTGTTCAGCGCATTCACATCATATCAAATCGCATCGTTAAGATACGCACAAGCCAAACAAAAAAAGACGAAGAAAAAAAATATATCGTATAACCCCAAAGACAGTTTCCATTAGAAGAAGATACAAAAAAAAAGCCAGTGAAATTACAAAAATCGGTATAAAGTCAGATTTCGTTCTCCAATTTTCTTTGTTTTTTTTTTTATTCAAACATTTTAAACCATTCGTCATTGGTCCTGTAACTTGCCCGAGGATGTCCCTGATACATATTTCCATTTCTATTTCTCTCAAAAGCATGGAATATGTGTTTTGTCGATTCCAAAACCACTGTGCAAATGAATGCGTATACTTGGACAAATATTTTTGAAGCGATTAGGAGACTTGGCTGGTGAAATAAAGCAGTTGTGTTCGGCTAATGTATATATATTTTTGTGGATGGTTTTAGAACAATATACTCCTAATACTGCTATTTATACGAATTTTGGGCTCGTTTTTCTCTTGACAACCAAGAAAAAACAGCCGACGATAAAAAAGAGAATTGAAGACATATCTTCGTTTTTTATTATTATTATTATGATAATTATATTTTCAGCGAATGCTCTCGATTTATTGTATTCATTCAGATCTTTATTGAGTTTGATTCATTTGGTTCTCACCGAATCAATATCATTGGCGTTCTCTATTCATTAGTATAAAATCTTTCATTTATTTTTACACCCATTAGAGTGTATTCATTCATCAATTCATTTCATCGATTACAATCACTTACGTGAGCTTTTCTTTCTGGAAATAGCACTTTCATTTCGAAAATATATCGAATGACCATGAAATTCATGGCATGAATAAAACTGAAAAAAAAAACCAAAAGCAAAAACTTGATGCTCGTCTCATATTTCCAGAAAAAATTCAGTCGAAATTGGAAGAAGAACAATTAGATAAACGAAAAATCATTGGTGTAATTTTCTTCTACTTCATCTCGTCTCGCATGTCCGCTACCGGTTAAATACGAAACATTATCGCCGTTGAATCTATATTGAAATGAAATTCGGTGAAAATCCATTTGGCTCTTCTTCGAGCTTACCGTATCGATTGTCTTCCAAAATGCTTCTACCGTTTTTTTTTGGGGGGGGGGGATGGTGCCTGCAAAATATTTTCAGATAAACTTCGATGCAACGATATACCTGAGTGCTTTTGTGTATATATATACTCTCTATGTGATAAATATTTTATGGAATATTAAAATGAATTAAGCCACAAATGGTGTTTCATCGTGCCCAAGTTACGGTCCAAATTGCCCGAATTCATGCTTTTTTTCGACGGCAGCTAATCGATGGTTCACGAACAATATACTGATTTTAATAAAAACCAGTAAAAAATACTGTATTCAACACCAAAAAGTTGTATTTCTGTCTTCATTTTGTACCATTACTCACATAAAGCTTTTCTCGCATTTAAATCATTTTGTCGGAAGGCAACATCCATTCTGAAAGGAGCCATTTAGAAGATAGAAAAACACCAATGTCTGTATTCGACTTTTGCGTCATGCTTATAATAACTCGAATGAGAATAACTTTTAACAATAACAACATCAGAATTGTATTTAATTAGGATAGCATTGACTGGTGAGTTGGTAAAGGGGTAGAAATTGTGGGTGGGTGGTCAAAACACATTCAAACGTTTAAGAAAGTGATGAAAAAAAGAGATACAATTTTGAAGCGTTTCCGTTTTTCTTATTGCTGTGCCAGCGTTATTTTATGCCTCGGCTTTCAAGGGGCCCAAAGTGAAATGACGAATATAAGTCGAAAACTTTGAGACAAACGAATATAAAAAGAAAATTACAGTCGTACAAATGCATTGAACGTAAATGATAACGATGGAAAGATGGAAAGATGGAGAGATAGAGAGAGAGAGAGAGAGAGATGTGTGATGTGCACATGTGCTGGAACAGTACTAAAATTGTATCGAATTTCGAGAGGGGTACAAATAAATGAAACGAAAACGATATGGTTTTTTTCTCATCGTTTTCCGTCATCATTTCTTCGCGTCGATTCTTCCATCAATTATTTTATGTTCGCAAACATTTTTCTCGCATATTCTTGTTGTTATACATTTTT